GAGAGAGAGAGAGAGAGAAAAGAAACCCCCTGCACCTAAGCACATCCTCAGTGGTATCGTGATCACACTCCCAGGCCACCATTTTGCACCACTGCAGGAAAGCTACATCCCTGGGAGGGGTTTGAAGTTTTAGCTTTTAAGACTGCAGACCTCAAGGGCTGACGTCTGCCCTCTGCTAATCCAGAGGACATGGAACATAAGATTAAATGGGAAAGAGCCAACTTTGGGGGTTGATAACCACCGCTTTACTGGCAACGTTGCACATCCAAGTCAGAATAGGATGCCGAGGATACAGGGAAGGCCAGTCCAATACAAGGCACCAGAAGAGAGGTACCTGTCTCCATTCTCCTCCATGGAGGCTCCCCCTCTGTGCCAATGTCTCACCTGTTGGCTCAAACACCTCTCGTGGTGACACCTCATCAGCAAAGCCAATCAGGGTCAGGTCATCGCTTCCAGCTTCCGTTGAGCCAGGTTGCTTCCCCTCCTGTGGATCAGGAAGATCTTCTGCCCACTCGGGTGCGGGATCAAAACGCAACAGCTCTCGCTGCCCATGAAGGCTCCACTTGCTACAGTTGCAAAATGCACAGCGTTTGGGTGGGGAGCTGGAAGGAGAGAAAGAGCCTGACATAATTTAAGGGACGCGGCAGCCTCTCCTCATCTAGACGGATGTCGGGGCTGGGGGGCAGACATAACACCAGCCGCTTGGGGTCTCTTGTTGGGAGAAATGTGGCCTATTAATAAAACTAATAAATAATAGTGCTGGGGGTTAGACTAGGCCTCAGGAGACTTGAGTTCCAATCTCACCCGCTATGAAAGTCCACTGTGCAATCTCAGGCCAGTCACACACTCTCAGCCTCACTGAACCAGCAGGATTACTCCAAGAGTAAAGTGAGACGAGGGCCATATATGCCACTCTTAACTCACTGGAGGAAAGGTAGGATATAAATGTAGGAGACAAACAAATTCTAGTTTTTATAGGCTTGTGGGTGTTATAAATGTCACCTGCGCCCTATCCCCATTTTCATAAATGAAAAGCCTGTTTCCTTGTATGCGTCTTGAATTTATATCCCAGATTTCCTTTGGGCAGTCTATGTGGCTCCCCCCACCCTTTACTTGATCTTCCAAAAAATAAAATAAAATAAAATTGCAAAGTAGTTCACTTATGGGAAGTCTCTATCAGTTCACCTTTACAGTGGTGCCTCGCTAGACAGTTACCCGCATGACAGTTTTTTCGCTAGACATTGACTTTTTGTGATCGCTATAGCGATTCGCAAAACAGCAATTCCTATGGGGGAATTTCGCTGGACAATGTTTGATCCCTGCTTTGCAAACCGATTTTTGCTAGACAACGATTTTGACAGCTCCCTCCGCACTCGCAAAACAGGTGTTTTCGGGACCTACGCTTCGCAAGACAACTATTTAAACAGCTGATCGGTTCACAAAGCGGCTTTTCCTATGGCTGATCTTCACTAGACAACAACATTCTTCCGCATTGGAATGAACTGAACAGGTTTCAATGCATTCCAATGGGGAAATGCTTTTCACTAGATGATGATTTTGCTAAATAGTGATTTCAGTGGAACGGATTATCATCGTCTAGCGAGGCACCACTGTGCATTGTGCTGTGTTTGGGTCACTGCAGGTGTTCCTATAAGTGTTATTATTCATACCTTTTCATAAAATTATTAATTGAGCACATCTAATAATTTAATGAAGTAATTACATGTTATGGTCCACAAAGAAAGGAACCAGCCGGGCCAGATCTGATGCATCAAAATCTGCTATGATCCATGTTCCTCATGCTTGATGCATGTGGCATGCACACCTAGCTCTCTGGATCCTTTTATGCCCCCAAAACCCAAATCTCCATAAAAAGGGGATCTAACTTCTGTTCTGTCCTTAGTCTACTACCCCCAGGTTCAAATTCCATATCAAACACCTCCACATATCACCACACCATTCTTCCCTGGGCACAAACGTTTCAACCATAATGTTTGGTAGCCTCCCTGGTCTGCACAACAAGGACCGAGTTAAAAACCTGCCCAGGAATGAGGCAAAGGCAGGCAATTCAGCAACTAGGTTTCACTGTGGGATCAGGCAGACTACAGAGGGGGAGAAGAAAAGGAGCAGGACTCTTTGATCACTCCAAACAGGAGAGAAAGAGAGAGAAGAACCACTACACTCTTTTTAGAAAAACAGCCGCCAAAAGAGAGAGCTGCTCATTTGCCCACAACACAATCGGGCAAAGCACTTTCGCTCCCCTAGCGACCCCCTTTGTGTCTTTAGGGAACCCTCGTTCCACATGTCAGCAACCACAGCACAGAGCCTGTCCTCCCACCCTCGCTATGCGCTTTCCTCTCCCTCCCCCTGTCACAAAACCTCCTCCAGCCCTGAGTCCACAGGTTGCCTACCTGCAGGTCTGGGGCGGCTCCTCTTTCGCTTCCGCTTTGTCCAAGGTCTCCTTCACAGGGCTCCCCTCTTCTGGTGGTTTCACGGGCTCAGCTTCCACACTGCCCTGCTCCTCAGACACCACAATCCCACCTGCGGCTGCAAGAAGGTATCAGTCAGGAGTTGGGCACGACCGGTCACAGGCCCTGATGCCTGAGCCACATGTCCCTTCCCTAAGGAACTCCCCAAGGAGGAGGCTGTGGGCTACAAGGAACACAGGCCCCTTTCTAGTGTGTGTGTGTGTGTGTGGGAGGGGCATGGAAAGGTAGCACTTATTGAATTCTTCCATCTTTAACATGTCACCCAACAAATCTCGATAGGACTGTAATAAGCATTTCCAAACAGGGAGCTACCATGTTTTCCCAAAAATAATACAGGATCTTATATTAATTTCTGCTCCAAAAAAACCTTTGGGTCTTATTTTCAGGGAATGTTTTATTTTTTTATGTACAACAATCTACATTGATTCAAGTACAGTCCTGTCATCTTCTTCTGGTTGCTGCACAAGGGTGGAGGGCGGGGTTTCACTTAACTGGGGCTTGTTTTTGGGGTAGGGCTCATATTGCAAGCATCCTGAAACATCATACTAGGGCTTATTTTCAGGTTAGGTCTTATTTTCAGGGAAACAGTGTAATAGTGAGTTCCACAGAGCGTCCAGCATTCTATGTTGTCATGAACTAAACACTGAGAGGGAGAAAGGGAAGGCAACACAGTACTCTTGTGCTTCCACAGCAGCCTCACGGATGCATCTAAGCTGTGTTTCGAAATTTATTTATTTTATTTTATTTATTTATTGTATTTATACCCTGCCTATCTAGTCATTTCGACCACTCTAGGCGGCTTACAACATAAAGCATAACAAGTTCAAGGAAAATTTATAACATTTAATTAATTAAATGATTCTGCAAGATGGGAAAAATACAAAATAAATCAAATAAAGAGGAAAAAAAGGAAAGAGGTCAGGAATTAACTGGAAGGGAAGGCATGTCTATACATCCACGTTTTTAGCTGGTTCTTAAAAGTACCCAGCGAGGGTGCAGCACGAATCTCCGGAGGCAGCTTATTCCAGAGGCAAGGAGCCACCGCCGAGAAGGCCCGGTTTCTAGTTCTTTCCTTTCGGGCCTCCCTCAGCGTCAGGCTCCTCAGCCTCACCTCCTGGGTCGCGCGGGTGACCCGGGTAGAACTGGGTGGGAATAAGCGGTCAGCCAAGTATTGAGGTCCTAAACCATTTAGGGCTTTATATGTAAGCATTAACACTTTGAAATGCAGGCCAGCTCCTCTCTGTTGTCCTCACATGATCGTGGGAAGTAAATCCACACTCCTTTTAAAGACAAATTTAAAGCAGCATACACCTCGAAAATCACATTCACCACACAGACAGGACCCTGGAGGAGATGTTGGTGGGCCTCCAGACATAGACTACTGCTTCCACAATTCTCTGAAATCGACTATACTGACTAGATGTTCTAGGCACTGCTGCGCAACAATATACTGCAGTGGTTCCCAGTCTTGGGTCCCCAGATGTTCATGGACTGTAACTCCCAGAAATCCTAGCCAGCACAGCAAAGGTGAAGTTTTAGAACATCTGGGGACCCAAGGCTGGGAAATCACTGAACAGGGGTGCCAAAGGTTATCCTAGCCAGCACAGCAAAGGTGAAGTTTTAGAACATCTGGGGACCCAAGGCTGGGAAATCACTGAACAGGGGTGCCAAAGGTTTTGTACCCGCTAACTGAGACCAAGTAACCAAAGTGATTCATCTTTAGCTGTATGAGTGTGGCCACAGAACCAACACCAAACATCACTTTCCCCATTCCTTCTCAGTTCTAACCCACTGACGCCCACTTCTCTTCCCAAGTAGAAAGGCACAAAAGCCCCATCATCTTTCACTCTTCCTGTGAAGTAGCCGCTTTGCATGTTAGAAACTGGGTCGAACATTTTGTACGTTCAGCATCGCACTGCCTCTTCTGCTACTATTCTACTATTCCATTGTCATGGAAACTTCAGCAGCCAATTTCTTTTCCTTAAAAATAATACGGGAGTTGTTTAAGCATATCAATACCCGTGAGAAATGTGGAAGGAGAGGTCAGGAATCCAAACATTTGCAACACCCAAATCTTTCCAGCATTACAGCTTTGTGGGAGGACATGCATCTCTCAAAGCAGTAAGAGGGAAAGCAACCATCCATTAGAGTACATTATGGGCTCAGAAGTCAGTATGAGGTGATGGATAAAGCAAGCCAAATTCCAGGAGCATGAAAGTGACATCTCAAGCACAGGAATGTGCCAGATAATAAAGAATCTCCAGCGACAAATGTAGAGTCCAAAAATTATGCAACCAAACACCTTCTGCTCTTTCTGTGCAACTTTTCATTACTGCGGGATCACCATTGCAAAGACTGTTGAGGATGTGCCACCTGCTGCCAGAAAATCGCCTCTCACCTATTTGGTTACAGACGGGTTTTTCTTGCCCATGACATTCTCACGCATAATGCCCACTCAGGAGAAGAAATATGCACTCACATCCTTTCCAAAAGCACCAGGAGTGCAGGGTAGGATATCATGGCAGCAGAGCCCCACCCTTAGGCACCGGGCAAAGCAGGACAAAGAGAACATAACGTGGGGACAGAGCTTTGGAAGACAAAGCCATGTGTGCCACATGCTCTGCTTTGTGTCCCCAATCTAACCTGCTGGCTGCAAGTACAGTGAAGGACAGCAGCCTGCATTGAGGCAAGATTCAACTCTCTGTCTGACTGGTTTTTGCAGAAAGAAGCAGCAGGCAGAGAAGGAACGCCATCTTGCCTTTTGCCCCAGATAGCAAAATGCTCTGGATCAGCCCCATGTGGCGACTGCAAAGGCTAACAGACCAGCAACTTACAGCTTGTGTTGACGGCACACTGCATTCACCACCAACAGGCTGCTCGAGAGCAAGAGGAGTCCAGTTGGGAGTACTTACCTGGTGTATCGGAGTCTTTGTCCTCACCAGTTGGTTTCTGATCATCCATCCTGTCTCCAAGGGACCTAGAGAGAAAGAGAAACAGCTCATTGCACTTTCACCCCATCAGCTCCTTTTGGAACCTTTAGCCTTCTTTCTTAGCGTTTTGCTGTATTTTAAAATTATGTCGCATGAGCCGCTTTCCCATTAAGCCTAATGCTAAGCACACTAGATGCCAGAAGAAAAAAGAGGAAGAACTCCATATTAAAGCACAAAACATCCTGCACTCAAGACATACAGATCACATTTACATGCCCTGCTTCTGCATAATCACCTCCGCTTCCTGTACAAATGTTATCTGAAAATAAACCCTGAGGTGTGGGGGAAAAAGAAAGGGAAAGACATGGGATTGGAGCTAACTAGGGGGACAGTGTAGAGCAGGGGTCCCCAACCTTATTCACCTTGTGGACCTGCTGGGGAAGGCAGGACACCACCACCCCCGTGCTCATGCACATGCACAAACATGAGGCCATGCTGGTACATGGTAAAGGCAGCTCCTTCCACAATATTAAACACTGGGAATGCCACACACAATTCCCAATTTCCAGGAACGCTCCCCCCTTTAAAAAAAATTATTAGCAAGTTAGAACCAGCCAAATAATTCTGGTCTACGCAAAAGAGCAATGATGTCCGATCTTTTGGGGATTGCCATGTTATTCCAAAGTAGGTTGATGTGGCAAAGGCTCATGACTGGTGGGCTTGCTTTAATACATGAAGGTATTGGGTATAAGTAGCTACATAACCCACTGGTTCTTAACCTTGGGTTACTCAGGAGTTTTGGACTGCAACTCCCAGAAGCCTTCACCACCAGCTGTCCTGACTGGGGTTTCTGGGAGTTGCAGTTCAAAAGTAACAAAGGTTAAGAACCACTGACATAACCTACCATTTGGGACAGCTTTTTTGAATCTCTCTCTCAGTCTACTGATTCTGGGAGGTATACCTGAATAAAAATACATTTTAAAGCCATTGCTTACACATATGTTATTGCAGTCTATTGCACGTGTCTAGAACCTATTGCTTGGCCACCTGCATAAAGACAGTATCACCCCCAAATTCAAGCGATATGAGCATTCTACCTACCATGGAAATTTAACTGTGAATACTTTTATACTGGGGGAAAAACAGAAACCACCTGATTTTCAGTTCAATCTATTCTGAGACATCTTAACAATAGATAAATTCTTCACTGAATTATAAATTATAGTAAACTTTAAACACCTTGACAACTTCATGTAATACCAGTTCCCATTCTTAATACACATGGAAACTGTTTGAAGACTTTGTAACTGGCAACCAGGGTGACTTTGATTTACATTTTTAAAACTGGATTTTTTTTAACCATTTCAATCAAAAAACATTTCAATCAAAACAATTTTTAATTTAAATTGTCATTTAAATCCGTTTGATTTTTAAAAGAAATCAATGGTTTTTGCCCATCCTGCTGGCAACTAAAATTGAACCATATTGAGTACTGTATAATTTTGAACAACTAATTGGCCATAACCCTTTTAGGTATTTACACAGAGAGAAGAGCATTCACAGGAGTCCAGCCATTTAAATATCAAAGTACAGTATTGGTCAAAAGTTAGTTGCCTGCTTGCCTGTGCCCTTGACACACGGCACACACCTGGCACCTTGCCAATGAATCGCAATCAGCCAAGGCAAATTGTACAACTGCTCTTATACATGTTCTAACATCTGGCAAGATTCTGGCCACCATTTTCAAAGACTCTCAAGGCATTCTACAATAAAAAAACAAACACATATAATAAAAACAATACCTAAAAATAATGAAGTAATGGAACAGTAGAAGCAATCATATCCATTAAAACAATCAATTACGGTAGTTGTTAACTATTAGGAAAATAGTTATGAAAAAGCCTTGGCAAAGAATTAAGCATTTGGTTCACAGCAGAAACATCTAACCCTGGAAGTCTGCTTAATCTGAATGCTGAGATCATTCCACTGGGCAGGCACCACAACACGAAAGTCCCTGCTCTCCAGCACAACGAAACAAGCCTAAGTAGGTGTGACGACAACAAGCAGAGTTCCCCAAAGGAGAAATAGAATCTCTGTACAGGAAAGGACAGTCCCTCAGATAATATGCTCTTGGCTAATACAGGGTTTAATAAGCCAAGAGTTAATAGCTTTGAACTTTTTTGCTACCAAACATCAATCACGCCCCATACAAACCCCCCACATTTTCAACTTTAATTTGTGTAGGCATTTTGAGAGTCTTTTCTTATTTTGTGCATTATGAGGCCAACACCTAAAACAAACCAGAGAGATGAGACGTCACAGAGCTGTTCTTGATATCGAAAATGTCTCTCCCTCACCCTATTGTTTGCCTCAAGATTTCATTTAAAGTCTTTTACTGTAATACATCCCTTGGACAAAAGAGTCATCATCAGTAGCTGCCATATAGGCGCAGAGATGAAAATGCAGATTTCCAAGTTTAGGCGTTGCTCAAAACATAACATGAAAGTGAAAAATCAGCTCCATATGAATCCATATCTGTCTTTCGGCGGTGGGTTTTAAATTACATTTCTTGTAGAGTTGCATCCTGCTCCAAAATTTCAGGAAAATGACATAAAATAAACCCAAAATAAACACAGATGCTGTTTCCTTAAATTCTGAGTTTAACTGTTAAGGGCTGAAGTTCCCAATGCTGAAGGCCACTGCAAGTTTTTTTTAAAGCCCCTAAGATCCAGTAACTCCACTGAAACCACAGAAAAAAGTAGATAGTCTCTGTCTCATACGGACTGATAAAATAAAAAAGGAGCATTAAAGAGAGGCAAGAGAATTCAGACCATACAGTGTTACAGTAGACTCTATTATGGGACATTCTGTAGTTCCCTGTAATAATGTGAACAAGAGTAAGAGACTTCAACAGTACTTTTTGGTTTACAAATGCAATCCTGATAAACAAGAATCAAGTCTAAACATCTTTATGAAGGCAAGAGTGGAACTGTAGGGTGTGATTTTTCTCATTCGCCTGTTAAATCACCCAGATCAGCAGTTCCTGCTACTCAGTGCCCTTGCTCCATATCCTAATTGCTTTTCATCACCACCTCTATGGTAGGATATCTTTAAGAGCAGCAATTTCCAGGGGGTGAACAGGCTTATTATGTGAACAGAAAGAAGCCACTGGAGCACTACCTGCGACAAGACAGCCCTAGCAAGTAAAAAGTAGCACAAGATATTTTGACATTTGTACAGACTGACCTCAATTAAAACCTTCTGAAGGATGGGAAGCTGGAAAAGCTAATAAATCCAGCAGAAGGTCCCCTGGGAAGAGGATACCCTATAATCTACCATGCTCAAGAGAGAAGCAGGAGGAAGAAGTGAAGCAAGAAAGCAGCCATGAAATGATGTGTACAACCAGAAAAGAGATCCAACCCTCTGCCATCAACCACCACACAAGCAGGCCACACCCCATATCCTGGAATGGAGCTCATGGGCAGAGGTCAAGCAAAGGCAATTAGGGAGAGAGTCAGGTTTGGAAACCATGGCCTGCGTGGCCTAATCTCAGCTATACTTTCAGTTTGTCTGATACAGTGCACTATCCTAGCCTGTTGTTTAGAAATAATATTTGGATGGCCATATTACGGGTTCCCATTGAACTCTCAGACATTTCAACAGTGTTTCCTGAGCCAACAAAGGCTCTCTATGGACTCTGCAGCTCTTGGCAGCTCACTGAGATGGCCTGGAGAACCCCTGTCTTCTGCAGGTACCGTATATGTGCTGCGAGTGGCAGTAAAAGTAGAAATGCCTCCTCTTGCAGCAAAGAGATGAAGAACTGAGGAGGCATGGAAGACAACATGCAAAAGAGAGGAGAGGCAGCCATTTGCTAAGGAGGCCATGTCAGGGAGGAAAGAGGAGCAGCGCCCCTAGGTGGGTGGGCACCAACAACAGAAGAGAGGTAGAGTGAAAGCTGATGAAGAGAGCAATGAGCGAGCACAACAACTGTGTGTGGAAAGAAAGCAGACTCACACAAACTCCACAGCTCAATTTTGCACTGGATGAACTGCTGGACAGCTCAGTGGTTTAGGTCTCTAGCTGCAGAACCAAACTTTGGGAGTTCAATTCCAAAATGGGCCTCCCTGAAAGGAGATGGGCTCCATGATCTATAGGGTCCTCCCCAGCTCTACAGTTCTAAGATGATGCTGATGATGATTATAATGGCCCAGAGACAAGAGCTGGGCCCAAGCTACCCGGCTGTCCATGACCCTTCTCTGCTTCTGCTATGCAGACGACACCCAAGGGTGGCACAAGTTAATCCACACGGGGGCAGAATCTGCACTTCCCCCTCCAGCCAAGCTCTCTAGGCCTCTGTTAGGAAGGAGGGGAAATTAATCTGTTCCCTCCAAGGCCCCTCCACTTTTCCTAGGTTAAATTAGGGGGTTAGGGCCGGAAAGGGGTTTGTTTGCATTTGCGTCCTTCACCCACCCCCATGGGCCTAATAGAGGAAGGATTATCATGGACGCAGCTTTCCGACTTTTCCAAACTGTGTCTTAGGGGGTGGCGGGTGAGGATCTGATACTGTAGCCATTCCTAAAATACAAAGCACCAGGCCATATAATTTTATAGAGGGCTATGGGGGAAGGAGAGGCCTTCTACTTTCATGTTCTGGCCACAGTATTGAAACAAGAAAGAAGCCATCTTTCCATTCAGTTCAAGATACGCTAAGCTCACTTTTTGTGGACTGGGATAGATAAAGCAGCCCGGACTGCCTTTTCCTGCTGAAATTGCTTCCTGCCCTTTTGAAAGGTTGGAGCCTTTCTAACTTTCCCTCAAGCAAAAAAAAATCCTACTTACACAGGAGTGGCTTGAGCAGCTTGGTCGCCATAGCGCCGGCGGAACCCGAGGCTGCTGGAAATGGATGCTCCCTGAGGAAGAGATTTGACCCTTTGCTCAGGCATCTCTCCAAACCGGAAAAAGTCAAGCCACAAAGTTTATCATTCCCAACTCAAGAGTCCTTTCCAACATGGAGGAGATACTTGAAAGTCTGGGAAAAGAGGGGGGCGGTGCGCGTGCACGTGTATGCACAATTTTTCACCACTGCTCTTCAATGATATTTTCATTTGTTTTGACGTTTTTGCTTTTCTGGATAATTTGAATAATTGAAAGATTTTGGATTACAGTATGTGTGTTTTTAGAACCAGAAATAACATGTTTTAAAACAGGTGTTCATATATTCCTATCTAGTGTTGAGTCTCAAAATAATTTCCTATGCTCACTTAAGACTTGAGGTAGATGTTGCTGTTCAGCTAAATCCATTAGTGTATGCACAAAGGTTAGTATTCTCTGTACAGGTTTTTAAGTTGCTGACTTCAGTCAGTGGTTATAATGAACATCTGGGCAAGATCACACACACGAAGTAATTTGTTTGTTTAAAATGTTTTCACCACACAAAAGGGACCCAAGGCGGCTTACATCATTAAAAAAAAACAACAATTAAAGCTAACAACAGTGAGTATACAAATACTAAAAAGGATCAAACATATACCATACTAAAAAATATAATTAACATCAAAATACATTCAATGCAGTAAGGTACAACAATCCATTGAAAAAAACACTCTGGTATGCAGTCACTCACTCAGGGAAAGCTCACCTGAACAGAAAGGCCTTCATGCCACTTCAGCCACGGTTTTTGTTTTGTTTTGTTTTGTTTTTAATTTAACTGAAAGTGGGGTCGGGGTAGAAAAAAATAAAGGTGGGCACAAATGCTACAACATATGTGGCTTCCATGTTACGCTGCAGGTTGAGATAAAAATAGGTCCCATGTCGCCATCCAATTTCTCTTTGGAATTTGGTAACAGATTAAAAACAAACTAGGATGACATTACCTCGGTTATATTTAAAATATCCACTGGATTTGCCCAAACACTTCTGAAAAAATGACATTTTTTGCTTCTAATTTCTGCCTCGAGGCTTTTTGATGAATCTAAAAATGCCCACCTTCCTACCAGGTTAAAGAAACCTTGGCTCTCGTTTCTCTTCAGGATTTTAAGAGATTCAAAGACACAGTACAGTAAGAGAAAAGAAAGAGGCAGGAGCCAGGACCAGCTTCTCTTTCTGGGATAAAGACTGCATTTTGGTTATTAGATCTCTCTTTTTCCGTCACTCCCTTTTCAACCAGTGTACTTTAAGCACCAACTAAAGCCCATGCATCCTGCAACCAACTCCATGGCCAAAGTTCAGCACCAGCACCAAAATTTGCTTTCTCCCCCCCCACACACATACCTTTTAAACGAGGCATTTATGCTTTAAAATTACGGCACTCATATGTAGTTTTAGGGTCAGCCAGTGTTTCAGGAAAGCTCTGAGGAGTTCTAATTGGGTTCAAACCAAGACATGCATGTCTCGTGCACCTTGTTTTAAAATCCGGAAGTGACCCATTGTTTCAGTCTTTGCTTTATATTGGTGGTGTGGCAGTAAAATTAGAGGGCAATGCTTCCTTTTGCTGCCACCACTGAGTTTTAGCATTAAAGTACTACAAACCCTTCTCTTTTTTGCTAAAATGAACAGTGGCATAGATCAAAAGTTGTCAACCTCTCTTTTGAAAATCCAACCGATGCAAGAGGAGAACCACTATAGGTTTGCTATCATTGTTTTTAACTTCTGGTCAGAATGTAAGATATTGGGTTTAATATAAAATGCAGAATGATTTAGGCCATTACAATCTAAAATACTGGCTGGAATCCTGTTGTTTTCCTTAGTACATTACATCCAGAGTAGGCCCATTTGAGTCAATGAAACTTATAGAGGAGATAACTCATAAAATCCCAATGATTCAATAGGTCTACTCTAGTGCAAAGTACTATGTCAAGTAACACATTTTCAGCCATTAATTCATCTCCCAGAATCTGGATGCAACCAGTTTTGTCACTGGGAAGGAAAAGAATGTGATAAAATCACATTTTAAAAATACTGAGCACCAAGAGCAGTAAACACACATGGGGTGCAACAAGTAATGTTTCCCAGGTACTTCTAAAAGGCATTTGGAGAGCCATTTTAATTGGAAATTTTTATGCCATTCTTTAACAATTATAAGCTGTGGTTTTCTAAGTAACAAAACAGTACAGAATATAACAAACAATGAGTCACTATTTTTAAAAATAGCAATGCTATTTATTTATTTATCTCATTTACATCCTCTCTCTCTCTCCAAATTCAGGAACCCAAGGGAACTTACGAAATCAAGGAGGTATGACTGATAATATAAACCAAAATACTGATAATTCAATTAAATGTACAAAAGGACAATGATACTTAAAGCAATTAAAAAACCCAAAATAACAAAAGCCATATACATGCATATAAAGGCTCTTGGGGAAAAAAAGCAGAAAAAGGAGCATCCCCTGTTGAAACACTGCATTCACCTTAATGGCACCAAATTAGTTCTGGGGGACTTCATAACAAGGCACATATCAAGTAATTTTCAAAATGTAGTTTCCCAGCCCCTGTCCTGAACTCTGTACTAGTGATTTGTCCAAGATCAGCAGAGTCCAACCCCATGGCTACAAGGAGTTACAGAATAAGGGCACAAAGACTCCTCAATCATCCAAAAACACTCACTAAAGTCTGAATGAAGTATTTTTCAGAGCCACTGGAAGTCTGTGTGCATGTGTGTCTAGTCAAACCTCCAAAAGCCAATGAATAGCAAACCAATTTCTACCAGACTCTCTTGCTAACGTCGTAGGGAAGGAGACACAGAGAGCACATGCTTTCCATACAAATAGTCCCCAGGTACATGCGATGCAACAGCCTTGGCAAGGAATCTCCTGGTCAGAGCATCAACATTAGGCTACGTGGACCGAGAGACAGTTGGTAAAATGTAGTTTCCTTTGGTCCTTTGCGACGATGCTATGCAAACTCACTTTAAAATCATGGTGTCTACACTCTGTTCAAGACGGACAGACTCCACTCTTTTCCAAAGAAGAAAATTTAGTTGCTCCTTCTGTAGGACAGGCGACGATGGACATTTTCCCCAAGGCATAGAAAAGGAAAGAAGGGTTCACAGAACTTGCCCCTTCAGCAGACCCAGCCCCATGCATGCCGCCTCTCTTTCTCTCAGTATCTTTGCAGAGGCTGGAAGACAGGAAAGCACTCCTCAACATCAGAGCTTCCCAAAACAGGCTATTGGGACTGCGATAAGCTCCCTATGGCCTCTCTGTTGCACATCCGAATGATAATTTTCATGGGACTGGCTCTGCCACAGCTCAAATAATATCCCAAGAAGTCAGCATCTACCTTTCCTTTCACACCCTGCAACCGCTTTAACATAAGCTCTGACAATCCAACCTTCAGGTTTTCATAACATCTTTTTCCTCCCCAAGGCTTAAATCTTAAAGAGGTCTATGTCAGTTCACTGGATGTTTTAATCTAACAGATCTGGTTAAATTTGTGCTTTTAAAAAAGTATGTGGTTCAGAAGCATTCCATCATCATTTTTGGTGACACATTTGTAAGTACCAGGAGCCACTTCAGAAGAGGCATTCGTCTGCCACTTTACAACTTTTACAAGCCCTTGCGACAAAATTAAGTGAACGTCAGCTGGCTTTTAAGGCACATGTGGGCAAAGTCCAGTCCTTTGGATATTGGTGCACTGCAAATCCCAGCATTCCTCAACATTAGCTGTGCTAGCTAGGGCTAATAGGAACTGTAGGACTACACTTTGTTCACTCCTGTTACAAGTGTGATTTTAATACAAGAACTTAATGAAAAGCTCAGTGGTTCCCAACCTTGGGTCCCTGGATGTTTTTAGACTAAAATTCCCAGAAGCCTTTACCACTAGAAGTGCTGGCTAGGATTTCTGGGAGCTGTAGTTGAAGAACAACTAGGGATTCAAGTTTGGGAACCACCGCTTCTATAAGGAATCTGCCAATTAAATGGTAATGTGCCACTGGTAATGGTGGGGCTAAAAAAAAACTGTAAATAACAACAACAACAACAACAACAACAACAACAACAACAATAATAATAATAATAATAATAATAATAAATTAAGTGACTACATCAAGGGTGAGCAAAAGACAGCCCGTGAGCTTCATGTGGCACTCAGGCTCCAAACCTTGGTCTCCTACCCCAATAGCCTCTGTCCTCCCATATCCTCCAAAATACTTGATTTTTTTAAAAAGGCTTCTTGCTCCCTTTATGGGGCATGGGGGCAACTTTGCCAGGTTTCTGGCATGCCGCAACTTTTTTAGGCCTGGAGAGGGCATTATTCAAACTTGGAAATGATTTCTAACCATTTCTGATTGGGGGCAGGGAGGCCTGGCAATATTGCTTGCATCCCAAGCTCACTAGAGGGCTGGAGGAGGTTTTATGAATAATTTAAAAAGTTATTTTAAACATCATGGGGGGGGGCAATAGAAAGCACAGGACTGAGTGCACCCCTCCAATGTCCAGGTATAGGTTCATGCAACATCTTCATTAAAGCACAGAACCCCAATTTTATAACAATTTTCTGCCTTGTTCAAAAGAAATTCCATCTGCTAATGAAGCAGCAAGTTAACACAGGGTATTAATAAAATACTCTTCTCACCATCCTCTTTGCCAACCTGAAACTCTGCTGGGTTCTGTGCTGTCAAGTCAGAACCAAATTTTAGCAACCCAAATAGGACTTTCAAGGTAAGTGAGATATTTAAGGAGTGCTTTTACCAGTTCCATTCCCCCAATGAGTTCCCATAGCTGGGCAGGGACTTGAACACTGTTCTCCAAAGTCCTAGTCCATCACTCTATCCACTACACTACACTGGGAAGTCTGACTTACTGTAAATCTAAGCTGTCTGAATAGCTCAATGGTTTAGGTATTTGGCTGTGGAG